AGAAGACATGTTGAGAGCCTGTGTGATAGACTTTGGTAAGGCGTGGGATACTCATCTACCGCTTATCTAATTTTCCTATAATAATAGCTATCACACTAGCATTGGAGTCGCTCCATTCGAAGCTCTCTACGGTCGCAAGTGTAGATCACCTCTGTGTTGGGCCAAAGTGGGGGATACTCAGCTAGCTAGGGGGCAAGCCCCTGATAGCACCCTTATCGGGCCTGAAATCATAAGGGAGACCACATAAAAGATTGTTCAAATTCGGGAAGGACTGAAGGCGTCTCGTGATCGACAAAAGAGTTACGCAGACAAGCGACACAAACCCTTGGAATTCCAAGTTGGAGATCAGGTACTACTAAAAGTTTCCCCTTGGAAAGGAATGATACACTTCGGTAAGCGTGGGAAACTAAACCCAAGGTACATCGGGCCATTTGAAATCCTTGCCAGGATTGGTCCTGTAGCATACAAACTCCGATTATCACAAGAACTTAGTAACGTACACCCTACCTTCCACGCATCAAACGTGAAAAAGTGCCTATCGGATGAGACACTTGTAATACCTCTCGACGAAATCGAAGTTAACGAAAATCTCCACTTCGTGGAAGAACCAGTCGAAGTCATGGATCGAGAGATCAAGCGAACAAAACAGAGTCGTATCCCCATTGTAAAGGTCCGCTGGAACGCTAAACGGGGACCTGAGTTCACCTGGGAACGCGAAGATCAAATGAAACAAAAATACTCGCATCTTTTTCCTAACTCTTGAAGTCCCAGTCAAAACGTAAATTTCGGGACGAAATTTCCTCTAATGGGGGGATGATGTGACAATAGTCAAATACGGGTCAAGTCAAAGTCAAACAAAGTCAATAAGTTAAACCAAAAGACTTAATTAACTCTTACGTATTAGGGTTTAGATGGTCTATTTACTAAACAATTCGCTATTTTAATGAGAAAGCATCATTTGAAAAATCCATGTGATTGAATTCTTCCTAAGTGTTACATGCGGTAAACAATGAACCAAAGCGATAAAACACAAATCCACACTCATCGGGAGTGTGGAAGACATTAAAACACGGCTTAATGGGGTTTACGGACCTTACATTGCGAAGTCGGACACTCAAAAAGGGCACAAACGAAACCTCTCCCAATCGTTTTCACTCAATCTCTTTCTATTTGAAATCTCTCACAAATCTCTCTCAATTGTTCTCATAACTTTTTGAAGTCATTCGGGTCATTCCGACCTTTAACCAAGTAAAAAACCACTTAAAACGGGGTTAGAACGAGTAAAATACCCTAAAGGACCCGAAAACCCTTTATAGGGCCGAACGCCTTGGAAAATCTTGAAAGACTACATTATTGTTATTGCATATTTGTATTAGATGGGCAGAAAAGTGTCAACATATATGACATGTTCATGAAAGAGTGTCGTCCAAGATTAATTTGATGAAATCTCAATTCCAACAGGCATTTATTTGTGTTCCTCATTCACACTCTCTTATTTTTGTTCAACCAAATTCTACTTACTTTTTTGTGGGAAAATTGTTCTTACCGGAGAAAAGCTATATAGGTCGGTCTTTCTCTTCTTTTAGAATTATATTACATTGTTGATTTTTTTGTATGTGTATTTGTAACAAATTGTGTATGTTCTTCTATGTTACATGTTTGTTAAATCCATTTTAATAGAGATTTCATAAAATCATTAAATTTTTACTTTTATGTTATTGCTCGGTTGTGATAGGTTCTATGAACGGTTTATATTAAATAAAAGTACAAAACTTATATCTTATTAGTTTAATAAAATTTTATAAATATTTTCTCATAATTTCCACATGTTGTAACCTAGTTAAAATAATAATAATAAAAAAAAGAAATTTTGACCGTTAAAAAAGAATAGCGAAGTATTGCAAGTGAACAATAATTTCTTAATTGAGGAGTGACGTTTAACAAAAACTTATCAAAGTGTCCCGAGTGAACATTAATTTTTCGGAAAAGAAATGTGTGTTAGAAAAATCTTAACGAATAGTAGCAAAGTGTCGCTAATGAACTATTATTTTCCGGAAGGAAGGATCCATGAGCAAACAAAAAAATAACTTAGTGAAGCTTCACACGGGTTCATATAGAAATTTAAGCTTTTGAAATGAGAAACTCACTTGGAATTTGGCAAAGATTGAGCTTCCATTATACCAAGACCATTGAGAATTCAAAGAAATATTGTTTCACCAAGATCAACATCAAGAAATTGACATCTTCCAATAGCTCTTATTAATATAACAACTACCAAAGATCTAACGGAGTAGTCTTGTGTAGATCGCCAAAGATATGAGGTTCTTTAGGATTTGTTTGATATAGTGGCGGAGCCAGGGTTAAAATAAAGGGGTATTTCAAATTTTTTTTTTCAGAGGTATCAACACAATGGCTGAGCATGGGTCGGGTTGGGATGGTTTTTACCTACAACCAACAACTTTAGTTTTGAAACTTTTAAACCGAACAGAACCCAAACCCATCGGTTCGATGTTTCGGTTTTCAGTTTGTAATTGGGTTTTCCGGTTTGATTTCGGTTTTAAACCAAAACTTTAATCGAATCCTTGGTTAACCTTAAAACTTGTTATATAAACATGAAATTGATATATCTTTTGAATTAATAGTTGAACCGGTCCAATTGATTGGAAGGTCCAAAAAACAGGATGACATCATATATTATATTTATTATAAAAAATACAATTAATAATATAAATACCATAAAAATGCGTTTATGTTAGTTGTTGGGTTGCTAATTAAAAAAATATATAAAAAAAATAAAGCAATTATCAATGTGAATAAGGACCGAAAGTTAGATGGCCACTTTGGTATATATGTCCATATCTATGTAAAGAAAATGAATGTTTAGGGTTTTGAAATCAAAGAAAATGAATATTAATTCATTGCTCACCATCTTCTTCTATTTTTTTTCAACTCAGAGTTTTTTTTCTTCATATCTGATACTAATTTCTTAGGTTTCTTAACCTTATTTATATAAGGCAGAATTTATACTCCGACTACAAGAGATATAGCGTTCTTTACGAGAATGTTAGCTCTGATTTGGATTCCGTCTTCTTCTTTTTATCAGTGGTCTGACATCAAGTTTTTATAGCCGATCGAACCTTCTTTGTTAGTTTTGAGGGGATGCTTTTATATATATATATATATATATATATATATATATATATATATATATATATATATATATATATATACACACTACATAAAACGTATTTTTCCTAAAAAAATTACACTACTGCAAAAAATTTGAAGGGTATCCTGGGCTACCCCAGGCTCTACACCGGATCCGCCCCTAGTTTGATACCTACCACAATAACATACATAAAACATAATGTGAGTTTGGCTTGCAGTCAAATAAAAATAAAAACCTATCATGTTTGGGTATGTTTTCTCATATATTATATGTTTGTCAATTCATATTCTCTTCTCAATGCTTTGTGTAATCTTGAACCTTGGATGAGTCTTGAAACTTTTTATGCATAACATCCCATATTTGTTTGGATGCATCATCTTTCTATAACTGTCTCAAAATTTTCTCAATGGATGGCTTGATAAAGGTAGTTCTTAATCTCTAGATCTTTTATCATTTGTTGATAAATCTCCTCTTCACGACCCTACAACATTTTGTACGTACCTAGCTCCCATAATCCTTGGAGAGCAGAAATTCTTTCAATAGCATGGCCCAATGTTCTTGTAATGGACATCGAACGAAGGGATGCTAGGGTTGGCAAAATTTTGGTTGTTTGCTTCTGCCATCACTCTATAGTGTAATTCGTTTTTCACAATCTTTGTTGCTCTAGTGTTTATCACTCTCTAGCACTCGTGTTTGACCTTTTCTCTCGTTTTCTTTTTCTCTCTAATACGTGTGTAAATCCAAGTACATACTAATATGAGTGTAAATTAAATCTACACGCTAATAAAACAAAGATGTACATATACGAGATAAAACAAAGATGTAGACATACGAGATAAAGAGTCATTAGACTAATCTAAGAAATATTCAGTAACTAACAACGGGGGCGGAGGTGGTATAGAAGACATGGGGTGCATGGACCCCATTTGCAAGTGGGTCCCACCTCTTGATTTAGATAAAAAAAATTCTTATTTTTTATTAAATTGAAGATGATGTCCCCACTTGGTTAATATTGTTGGCACCCACTTTAAGATTTCATGTATTAATCTTATCTGCTTTTTTCTTTCATTTACGGCCAATTGTTATTTCCTTTTTTTCTTCTCATTTTTCACCCCCTTTAACTTTTCAAAATAGAAAACCCTATATCTATAGTTTTAAATCTTAAGAAAGCATCACTGCTTTGATTTTTGGTCTGTCTCAGTAAAAGATTTTCATATTAATCTGGAATCACTAAAAAAACTCGATCACATTTTGACTAACTCAAGGACTAACACAACCAAAGACAACTAAAACGGCCCAATAGCTCTAATATCCATTTTGATCAATCATGTAGTCCTATAAGATTAATTTTACGTGGAATTTAAAAATCATATTGGTCAACTCAGTCAAGAGTCCTTGACTCCTTGTATGCAAAAATGATATGATTGTGGTTTTTCCTTATTTAAACTTCGACTTTATTTTCTGAAACAGATTCTGCAAAACACATGCCATGATGCCAATATTACCGAGTGAGTTAAAAACTAACACAAGGTTGAACATTGACGTAAGCAACAACAAATGTCTACTTTTTCGAAGTTCTTTGATAACACCAAAAAAGAGGTAAATGCGATCCTCACCAATCCGTCCTACAGCCATCATAAAAAGTAACTAACAACGTCTGCAAAGCTTATAATTAACACTTAGATATTATGATTAACTTGAGAAAATGTAGTCAACAGGTTTGATCCCATTCTCTTAAGATAGTGAAATGATGGATACAAACAGACATGATGGAAATAACAGCTACAGATGTACAACTATCCATTACATGTAACTATGTAAGCTAAAAAGTTCAAAAGTCTAGAGTTTGATTAAAGTGAAGATGGTTCACTTCGAACCATACCTGTCGAAACACCTTAACAATTAGATCATGATATCCATCACAATTTAATGTCAAATAACAAGCCAAAAGTTCCTCAAGCTCTTCTGTTTTCCTAATTCGCTTCTCCATTATCATTTCTATCATCGAGTCTCTGAAATCCTGCTCTGGATGAAATGAAGTTTTCACAATGGCAAAACTATCAAGACTGGTCCTGAATGCATCTTCAGTCACTCTCTCCTTTGTCTTCATCAATGGTTTCTTCACGTCTTCAAGAGCTTTGATCTTGCATGAATCCTTAGCAATTGTTCTTGGAGAATGACATTTGACGTTACCACCATGCTTTCTGCTTATATGAAAAGATTTCCGATGGTTCTGATCGTTCGACTTGATCTCATCGACTTTCATGTTTTTCACCTTCTGCCATTCTTCCTCCAAGTTTGGATCTTCGAAAGCGCAATCTTCTAGAGACTTGCGAAAATCTTCATCTGCATCGCCACTGATCAAATCTCTTATTTTTGTTTGGTCAAAGATCACGTTGCCGGAGCTTCCATAACCTACCGGAGGAACATTGAGTTTGTTATCTGAACTACACAAACTCTCGTCACCTTCATCATTTTCTTTCCCAAATGAAAGCCTCCAGTAAAAACCATCACTATTTGAACATTGCTTTGGTAATGGAATGTGGTTTGCTTTCGTTTTGCAGTCTGAAGATTCAGGTTCTGGTTGGGGTCGTCCTTCACATCCTTTTGTGTTCTTGAACCTTGAAATCCATAATTTGGAGAAGACATTTGAGGTTGAAGAAGACACCGTTTGGCTGGTTTTCTTTCTACCCGATTTCTTCATTTTGATCAAACCCAAATTCGTTATCTTGATTTGGAAGGTTTGATGTGTGAGTTTCAGTGAAAAGGAGTTGGCGGTGGACGGTTAGAGATATCGAGAGTGGGGAAGTGGCCATTTGGAGGTGGTTTGTTTTATGGAGTCGTGGTTAATGAATAATGATTGCTATGCTATCTTTCAAGTTCAAACGCAAAGGCCCGCCATGGATCTTGTGAGCAGGCACTTTCTTTCTTCTTTTCATATTTAGATGGGTCCTACACCTCTGCTTTTGCTGTCATGCTATTCTAAATTGGAGGGGACCAATTCTTTTCTTTTTTTGTCCTTTAATTCTCAGAAAGTGCGGTTGTGTTTGTTAGACTGAATTACAACTTACAAGTGTTTGCGAAGTTTAGTACTCTGGATATATCTGAATATTATTATTTCATTGCCTTCGAACTAAAAAAAAAAAAAGTTATACTTGTATTTTTAACTGTGTCCGTATATTTTCCAACGCAGGTTAAAATGAAAACAATTATCAAATCTAGAGCATAAGAACAAATCTAAGATACATATATTTTCTTTTTGCTGCAAATGAAAGAGTTTATTCACTAGTAATCACTGAATTTTGATGTCATTAATCTAGGCCAAAGTGGCTTTAAATACTAGAACTTACAAAGAGATAACAAACTATAGCTAGTAAACACGAAAAAACTAGATATGCTGAAATAGCTTAAGATTTGGTATTATAACATGTGCAAATCCCACTTGACTTGACCCAGCCAGTTTTATTTGAATTCTTTTATTCTTGAGCTAAAGACATCTAAACTTCATCAAACCCTCCCTCAAACATGACTAGGTTTCCATGTCTTGTTTTCCCTTGAGAGAATAAACACCCAATCTTTCTCTTAACCTTAGAAAATCATCACGATGCAATGGCTTGGTTAAGATGTCTGCCACCTGCTCCCTGGTATCAACATACTCCAATGCAATTGTTCCACCAGCTACCAATTCTCTTAGGAAATGAAATCTTACTCCAATGTGCTTACACTTTCCATGGAAAACAGGATTCCTTGACAGCTGTATGGCTGAAGTGTTGTCACATTTTATCACACTTTCACCCCACTGATGCAACCGAGTTCTTCCAGTATTTCTTGAGTCCACATAGCTTGACAGGCACATGACGAAGCAGCTATATATTCAACTTCTGTGGATGATAGAGCTACTATTCTTTGTTTCTTTGATGACCACGAGACAGCTGCTCTATCCCACCAAATCACATTTCCAGAGGTACTTTTCCTATCAGTGAGATCTCCAGCGAAGTCGCTATTTGTAAAAATTTCCATCTTGTCCTTGCCTCCTTTCTTGTACCAGATCCCATAATCCAAAGTTCCTTGTATGTACCTCAGTACTCGTTTGGCTGCTACAAAGTGGAACTCAGTTGGTTTGGCCATGAATCGGCTTATGAAACTCACTGCAAACTGTATACCTGGCCTTATGGCAATGATGTACATTAAACTACCCACCAATTGTTTAAATAAAGTTCCATTTGCTGGTTCACCTTCATCATTCTTTAGTTTGCATCCTGGAAGTATTGGGTTTATGATTGGATTGCACTCTAACATCTTGAAGCGAGTTAGCAATTCAACTGCATATTTTCTCTGTGAAATGTGAATGCCAACTGAGTTTTGTATCACTTCAATGCCCAGAAAGTACCTCATCTTTCCCAAGTCTGTTATCTCGAACTCAGCCTTCATAGAGCTCTTGAAATCATTCATCATCTTCTCATCATTTCCTGTGAAAAGTAGATCATCGACATACACATTAACAAACAATAGCTTTCCTCGTGCCTGTTCTTTAATGAATAAAGTGTGCTCAATCTTGCTTCTAGTAAAACCATCATGGATAAAGTGAGCCTCAATGCGACTATACCAGGCCTTAGGGGCCTGTTTAAGTCCATACAGTGCCTTCTGAATCTTATACACTTTGTGTTCATCATTCTTCACAACATATCCTTGTGGCTGTTGTACATATACATCTTCTTCCAGGGTTCCATGGAGAAATGTTGATTTCACATCCATCTGATAAATACTCCAACTTCTTTGTGCTGCAAGTGCATTAATCAAACGTATGGTATCCATCCTAGCCACTAGAGCATATACTT